TTCGTTTTAATGGAAGCTTGCACTTGCTTTCAAACACCTAATTTAAGCCTATGCTTTAAACCTCTAAACTTGGAGGTGGCTTACAATATTACATTTAAAATAAAGCCGAATAGGATTTTTTTAGAAACGAAAATTAAAGCAAACGAAAAGCAGAAAACATCGTAAGATTCATGGGAGCTGAAAAGTCTTAATTAAAAAGTGCAATCGCCAAATGCCTGTCAAACAATATATTGTACATTTCATCTGGAAGGCAAAAACACTTCCAGTGAAGATACTCTACAGCTTTGAGGCAACCAAAAAAGGCCCTTCTCCTCATTGTGGATACACGTACTTCATACAGCTCAATGTGCAAAATATAAAACAGCCAAAAGTTTCATTAGAAGAAAATTAGTATTACATCTATGTTAAGGTGTGATATTCAAGACTTTTTTTAAAAAAAAAAATTCAGATTAGATCTAGACAAAACACTTCTTGTGTCCAATACAAGAAGATTTTCAAGGAACAGAATAAGCTTCCAATTAGCAGGTATCTTTTTTTTTAAAACCACAAGATGATTCCCCAGAGCAAAATTGCTTTTTGGAACCATTTAGCCAACACATTCATACAGGCAACATGAACAGATCCCAAACACATACTGCTTGGCTGAGGGCCGCCCATTAATATTCCTGCCCAAGTCATGGAAAAACAAGAAACCTAGCTTTTCCAGGACCTGGACAGCCATTTTATTATAGGCAGCCTGAACACAGGAAAACATACATCCATATTTTGGAAAGAATACCTGTGGTTGCTGGGCACCTGAAGGAGCGGAGGGGACTGCTCCCACAGAAACAGCATCCTCTGCCACTGTAGGACTTGCTGTTGCTGTGCCAGCCTGGGCACCCCCTTCCTCTCGCTTTGTCAGAGGGCCCTTCTTGGTTGACTGCATCTTGATCTGCTGGGGCTTGGAGTTCATTGGAGAGTTATTTGTCGTCTGGAGTAACTGCCAGTGAGAAAGAGAGGCAGGACACAGTGAAACAGAACTTAGTTTTCCTCTGTGTGTATATGTAAGTGTTTATTTCAGAGCACTGAACTACCCAAGCAAAATTCAGTTCTAATATTAAGCAAGACCTAGATACATAGAAAACAAAGGACAGGGTGAGCCAGAGAAACTGGCTTCGCTTGGGTCAAGTCTCATTCAGAGGTGCACAGTTCCCTCCTTTCCCACTTTCTTTGTAGGGGGAAGAAAGAGAAATGCATATCATTAACCATCACCTGGCTTGCTTATATACTCTTTCCTTTTTACTTCTCTTATTCCTGGTGGCTGAAGAATAAGCAAATTAGCTGGGTAGAGCAGAGTGGAAAAAGTTAGTCTTTGAAACTACAGCTCTCAGAATCTGCCAGCCAGCACAGCATAGGGCAAAAAAGTAACTTTGCACCACGCATTGTGTGTGTGTGTGTTTAGTCATTTAGTCGTGTCCGACTCTTCGTGACCCCATGGACCAGAGCACGCCAGGCCCTCCTGTCTTCTACTGCCTCCCGGAGTTGTGTCAGGTTCATGTTGGTTGCTTCGCAGACACCACGCATTGTAACTGCCCCCAATTGAGGGCCCTGAAGAAGTGTTGGACTACAAAACCCAGCATCCGTAGCCAGCATGCAAATTCAAGATGATTCAGACAGCTGTTGCCTCTATTTTTTCTAAATGAGTCATGTGGCCAAACTTGTCTTCTGTAACTATTTGTGTCCATTAAATTACTCTCCTCTTGAAAACAATATTAGGTAGGTAGATAAGCAGGTAGATAGGTAGGCAGACAGAGAGACAGAACAAAAATTCTCCTCTTGAAAACAATATTAGGTAGGTAGATAAGCAGGTAGATAGGTAGGCAGATAGGCAGACAGAGAGACAGAACAAAAAGAAAAAAAGAAAAAGCAAGAGACAGGAAAGTTGCAGCACTTTAAAGACTAGCTGCTATATTTTATTGTGAGCTTTTGAAGATCACGTCCACTTCCTCGGACATTGCAGTAAGACTATATGACTGATCTGAGGGTGAAAAAACACCACTGAGAAATTCTCAATCAGCTACAGATCAAACAACAAACCCTAGTTTTTAGAGCACCAATTAATCAAAGGCAGGAACACAGTGAGCATCAAGAGACATGCTCATTCCAAACTCTCCACCTTCGAAAACCCACACCCTACCTTGTCACAAAACCTTAGTTACCTTGGTGATGGTTCCCACTGCTTTAGTACGCCCCTCACGGAAAACCAAACGCTGGTCTATGTGCAAATACTCTGGGGTCTTGATGAAGCGGAAGTGGACAGTGGCTTTGTCTCCTGTTCGAAGGCAGTCCTTGTCCATACTGAGGATAGTGGCCGTCTGGCGAATGCTGCCACAATGCACTGGGAACAGAAAGATTCTAAATGGCATTCAGTCAGCAGTAAGAGAAAGTACCTCAGAAGTGCAGAATCCCTCAAACTATAAACTGTTACGCTGTAATGTAAGGGGACTTTTCAGATCACAAGACAAACAGAAGGCAAAGAGATGAGAGTAAGGGTGGGTAACATATAGCCCACATATGCTCTTGCCCATTTTTGGTTCCCCCCTGCTGAATCTGCTACACTTCCACCAAATTTTAGCAACGACAAAGAAAGCCACATTTTATTTTTAAAGACAGAGCATACAGAAATCACCAACCTTATTTTTACGCTGAAAAGAACTATTGGGAGCCTCTCCCTGAGTCTGCAATTCAACTTGAAAACAAGGTGCATGCAGCAAAAAGTTACTGGAGATACAGGAAATGCTATGAAAAAATCTTAGGTGATTTAAACTGGGATTGTTTTTATTGAATGTTAAGACTGAAACTGTAGATAAAGAAATGAGATATTTGATAAAACATGCAATTACAGCAGCAAGGATACTATATGGAAGAAAGAAGAGGTACTGTTTCTGAGGATACTATATGGAAGAAAGAAGAGGTACCGTCTCTGGAAGAATTGATAGAAAAGATACTGGTAGTGACGGAGATGGATGTACTAACAGAAGCACTAAATGAAAGAGCATCTCAAAAAGGACTTAAAAATGGGAACAGTTTTATAACTGGATCTGAAATATGGACTGGAAAGTATAGGTAAAAGATGGGAAGGTCCAAAGGAATGAGAGAGTTGTAAAGATAGGTAAACAATCTAACAATTCTTCCAGACTATGTGATTTCCCTTTTTAACATAACTAAGTAAGTGGATGGAAAGGTAAAGGTTCCCCTTGACAATTTGTCCAGTCGTGTCCGACTCTAGGGGGCGGTGCTCATCTCCGTTTCCAACCCATAGAGCTAGCGTTTGTCGGAAGACAATCTTCCGTGGTCACTGGCCAGCACGACTAGACACAGAATGCCGTTACCTTCCCACCATGGTGGTACCTATTTATCTACTCACGTTTTTGCATTTTGCATGCTTTTGAATGGCTAGGTTGGCAGGAGTTGGGACAAGCGATGCGGGCTAACTCTGTCACGTGGATGCAATCTTACAACTGCAGGTCTTCTGATCTTGCAGCACAGGGGCTTCAGCGGTTTAACCCGCAGCGCCATCACGTCCTTTATTATTACATCCTTATTATCCTTATTATTATTACATCCTTAGCTTATTGGATTATTAGTGGATGTAAGAATACTCTTTTGCTCTCTGGAATTTTACCGTTTCCTCACCCTTATTCCTTCCTTCCTTATTCCCTTGTACCCACACCCCAACCCTTACCCTTATGGAAAATGAATAAAAACCTTTAAAAAAAAACCAAAATCAAGGTGCATGCTTTCTGTATGTATACTTTCTTTTAAAAGTCAAATGTGACTTTGTTGGTAGTACAACAATAAATTTGACAGTGAGGATAAGATACAGGCCTAAGCAGGTTCAGGAAAGCCCAGGTGGGCCTTCGAGACATTCCTAACCCAACTCAGAATAAAACATAGTTTCGTCCTGCAGTATTTTCTCTGGTAAGCTCCATGGCATCTTAAGAGCATGGTGGCAATCTTATGAATTCAAGGTTCTTTTCAAAAGCAAAGACAAACAGGAAACATCAGAAAATATGTTCATACAACACACTGTTTTAAATATACAAATGATGTCACAGTTTCTCACATTTAAATTCCTCACTTCAAGGACATCAACTGAATCAACATGAGATTTCTACAGTCACACAAGTCAAACACTCCACATGACAAAACACATGCCATGGAGCTCACTTCTGTCCTTCCAATTATGATCCTTATGAAAATCACCTTTCCTTTCAAGCCCCCACAAGATGCTGCTGCTCTGCTAGCCTTTTTATTATCAGAAACAACAAATGGGAGAGGTTTCCTCGTGTAGACGCAGAAAGTGAATGCAGGAGACACAGGAAGCAACTCTTAATTTACCCATTGCCTGATAACGTGGACTGATGGTGGTAGGATGATGAAGAACCAGAATCTCTGCTTCAAATTCCCAAGATGCTTGTGGATTCAAGCGAGGGGACACCATTACCATGCCTTTCCGGATTGAAGAGCGCTTGATCTAGAACAATTTTAAAATGGGATTCAGGAACCATCTCATTTAACATTTGAATTCTTTTAAAATTATTTTCATAGCATCCTACAACACAAAGATCAGTAGAACCCTCTAAAATGCAGCCTCTTCTCAGATGGCACACGAAGCCTACCCTGTGTGTTTTGCAAGGGGTGAGAGAAAAAGTGCCAAGAGGAATAGCTTAAAGGGATGAATTTGTTTAGCACAAAGCTCCTGTCCTTAAAGTCAACCCAAGCACAATGCTGAGCATGTTGTCCAACCTCCTTCTCTGCAGTCATTTCCTCATGGTGGCTTGAAGCACTTCCTCCAGTTTGGACCATGGGTCGCTAGTATCAAAACATGTAAGACACTTACAAGGCCTAAAGCTACTGATAATGGCAAGCTCTGCTGAACTCTGCGGGCCTTACTTCTAAGCAGACAAGGCACGGGATTCATTTCAAAGACTATTAATGAAGTCCAGCTGTAACTGGAAAAAATGTCTGGCCTAAATAGGTTTAAAGCTGGAATGTAGTGGTGAAAAATCTGGCACAAGTCCAGCTGTAACTGGAAAAAATGTCTGACCTAAATAGGTTTAAAGAAGTTGGAATGTAGTGATGAAAAATCTGGCATGCGAACTCCACCATAGGAGTCTAGGTCTGTTCAGTCTTTACTATAGTCTAACTTGTACACCAAATATGCTATGTAAATAACATTTTGTTTGTTATGTGTTGTCAAGTCACATCCAATTTACAGAGCCAAACAGAATATGTGAAATTCAAGGAGTGGTTTTACAATCGTCACACCCAGTTAGATTTCCATGGCCAAGCACAGATTAAGACTTTAATCTCCTGGTCCTAATCCATCACTCTACACCACACTGGCTCATCTAAGTAACAGCAGGCTGCAATCTTAAGTGCCACTGACACCAGCAGGACTTATTTTTGAGTAAGCATACTTAGAATCAAAATGTAAGTTCTCAAAAACTAGTTTTCTGAAAAGAAATGCACACTCACCTTTTTTAGAGCAAAGGAAGCTGTTTGGCCTCCTCGTACCTCTTTGACTGGCATGCGTTTGCGGTGGATGGACTTCACAGCAATGGGCAAGAAGTTACCCAGTGGGTCTGGGCCCAGAAGTAAGGTGTCATTTAATTTGATCAGACCCCTTAGAGTTGTCCCAGACACCACTGTTCCAACACCCTAGATGAGGAAGAAGTGGAAAAGCAACTGCATTAGTAACACCCCAAGAACAGCAGCGGAACTTATTCCTCTTCCCCATTCCATTTTCAGCCTTGAAAAGTATGGCAGTAGCAACTTCCCAAGACCACTCTTCTTACTGGAACAGAGTAAGTATCATCTATCTGGAATTCTGCAGGCTCCTCTTCCCTGTAACTGGTTCTTGGAGACAGGAGATTGAGAAACATCTTAAGCAATTCCAGGTTCTCACCAGTGACATTAGAAATCTGGAATATTGGGCACATCCTAATGGGAAAAAGAGAGAACAAGGAAGATATTAACAGGTTAGTGATATCCTGATCTTCATCTTTGGGGAAACACCCCATGCTTATATCGGCATGTTCAGTGCAAGAAAGAAAATGGCCTAATAAAAGCACCTTTACTCTAGACACTAGTACTAAATCCGAGTCACACTCAGTTAAATGAGTTTACATTCTTGGGATTGACATCACTTTTCTCTAGTACTATTTTTTTTTCCAGGGATGGCAGAACAAGAAGTGCCTGCTCAGTGTGACAGCCATTCTGCCTATCAGAATTATTGACAAAAAGAGACACCAGGGGGAGGGTAGTCTTGCTATGATTCTGATTGTTAAACCGACAGGAGTCAGAAACCTTTAGTTCATTGCAAATCACCCAGTGATTTATCAGTGTGTCTCACTTGACCTTCTGTCCATTTCTGGTCATACATGAAGCCTCAACAAGAACTGAACATGACCGAAAAGGATGTTTAGCTAAAGCACTTGAGAACCTGGGTGAGGCTTGAGATCTCTGCATTTTGTAACTTCCACATAACAATTAGATTACAGAATGCCTCTCTTCCTCTACCAGCTACCTTGGGTTTGGAATCTAATTGTAATAAACAGGAGAGGTTAAAAGAGGGAGTGTTCAATTTGACATGCCAAGTTCCATCAGGTAGTGTGCAAGATATTAAGAGAAAGGACTTGACGCCACACACTGTTTACTGTCAACCACACACAGTGTTTCACTTCTCTCCTTCTCCTGGTGAACTAATCTGATCCAAACAGATCTTCAGCATTTTTAGATCTGACAAAGAAGAGCAGAGACAGACCCTGCAGATCCGGCCAGGCGTTTTCTCTGGCCATTTATCTCAGCCACAGATCCAAACGCAGCTTCTAACCATCAATCTGATCTTACCCAATACATTAATTCCTTCCATCTTAACATCATTTATGGATGCCAGAAATACAAAGCCATGCAGACAAGTTCACATGGTTTCTCTAAAATGTAGCTGTGGTGTTTCCCACCCACTAGCAGAAAAAGCAAATGACACGAGAACAAGTGTTATTCAGGAGACTGTCATAGCTCTAGTCATGGTCAGTTCTTCCAGTCATATTCATCCCTTTCCTTGCTCTCTACTGTGGGAAACTGTGCAATCTCTATTCAGCACACATTTTGAATCTGATTTTAACATTTTGCATCTGCCCAATGTCAAAGACAGGTGTCATCTACTAAGGAACTATGCTACCTGATCTGCAAAATTACTGCTGCTTTACACTACAGCTGGCAAAAACTAAATTATATTTATGTTATATTTATGTCCCAGATCTATGACTGTCTGCAAGAAGGCCCTTTGGTTGAAATCTTCCTTGTTTACGTCAAGTTTCCAAACGAAGGACCAGCTTGTTTTCGTTAATCACCTTTCTGAGCTGAAGTTAGAGGCAGTAACGATGACATCATCCTTGCTCTGGACCAGCACAGGAATCTTCCGGCATCCTGGGGACTTCAAAAGTCGTTGCAATAGCTTCAGAGTTTCTTCATGAATAAAATATTATTATTATTAGTTTTATTTATATGCCACATTTCTCCCAACAAGGGACCCAAATAAAGAGAATTAGGCCAATATTCCCTTAATTACAATCAACTCTGACAAGTTAGCTCAGAAAGAGGTTGAATACATGGGCCACTGTCCACAGCAGACTTCTCGGAGAGACTGGCTGAACGATGGTCTCCTTCCCGAATGCTGCAAACAGGACAGTCCACATTATTCGTAATCCTCATTTAACCATAACATGGGCTCCTGTATTTTGTACACTTTTTCTGAAGCCATTTAGTAGCACACATGTTAAGTTCCAAAATTGAATGTACTACTGTTTAAGAACTATTCAAGGGGGTACAAAGAAACAGCATTGTATATTCTACATATATTTGCATACATTAGAGATGAAGAATCCACCGCTCTCCAGATGCCTTTGTGACTCCAGTTCCCATCATCCTTGAGCCCTGGCCGCACTGGAAGCCAAATCCAATGACATTTAGTGGGCTAGAGATTCCCCACTCCTGGTGTATAAATAATCAGCTTTGACAAATGGCACCATTTCCATTCTACCTGGGACTTTTGGTGTCATTTGAAGAGTGACATCTAGAGACATTTAACCTTAAGTACAAAGGCCATGAAAGAGAACACCCAGGAATGTTGCTGGGAGACTTCAACAGCAAAGGTCACACTAGGCTTTCATGGGGGCAGTATGAGGTTTTCTGCACCCTAAACACTTTCTTAGTCCTCTTCATTGCTTCTTGTCACTAACTAAACTTACACTTCGTATCGTGTCTTACTAAAATATTCCAAGTTCTGAAAAAAGCCAGCAATCACAGTTTAGAAGTAGAGTATTTAATCTACATTGCTACCAATTACAGTGGTGCCTAGCAAGATGAATGCCTCGCCAGACGAAAAACTCGCAAGACGAATGGTTTTGGCGATGGGGTTGATGACTTGCAAGACGAATGTTCCTATGGCCTTGCTTCGTAAGATGTATGTTTTCCATTTTTTGTTCCTGCCTCATGTTTGCTGATTTTTAAATGTTTTTCTATGATGTTTAAAAAGTTAAAGTTTTTTGATTGAAATTTTTTAAATCATCTGCACAATATGTACGGCTTTAAAAAGCACTTAATAAACCCTTTGCAAACCAAATTTGACTTTATTCCGACTTCTTTTGCCCATAGCAACGCATTATTTAGATTTCAATGCATTCCTATGGGAAAACACGTTTCACAAGAGATGAAACGCAGAACAAATTAAATTCGTTTTGCGAGGCACCACTGTACATCTTTTGGCTCAGATAAAGAGGCAAGTTACAGCGAATCTTATCAAAGACAACATATAACTTAGGATTTTGCACAACCCGACTTTGTGGTGAAGATGGCAGTGAAGATCTTCCTTCACCACCATGACTTCATCTACAAAATGGTAGCCACCGGAACTATTTCATAGCAAGAACTATTTCCTGCTTAATGGAGATCCTAGACTAGAGAATGAAAAAGGCCTGTGGGGGCCCTACTGCATTCCATTATGCAGACAGAACTGATAATTACTACAGCAATGTGTACATACAGAAACAACTATGGTTTGACAACAGGATGCCATCAGTTTTTAAAAAAACCTTCAGAATGTCTCAAAAATGTCTAAAAACTGCTTTAAAACATCTTCAAACCATTACCTATAACACTGAAAAAACTTGTAATATTGCTCCCACTTGCTATGCCACTTTCCAGAATGTAACTTTGTTATGTTCTTATTGTTGGAGGGGAAAAAGGAGAAAACCGCAACAAGTTACAAATAATTATGGTATCTGTGGCTCATTATATCCAAACACTGTTAATAATTTTCCGCTGGAGTAACTGGAACACACACACACAAATACTGTATCATGAATGACTGTAATATATGATACAACTTAATGTTCAGTTTTAAAGACAAAACATCCAACTGTAGCAGGAGGTCCACAATAGCCAGCTTTACAATCAGGAGGCCCATCACTTTTACAAAACAGTTTAATAGCTGGCTGTGGCTTTTGTCTCAGGGCAGGCAGCTTCATTTTTTCTGCTGACAATGTTGGCAACGCTTTTACAGCTTTGAACAGAGATGCCTGATTTGAATCACTGTCTTGCATCAAATTATAATGATTAGGAATGAAAAGCATAGAATACACTTCCCACTTGCCAAGAGCAGCCCATCTATGGCATCATCTACATATTTTGCTCGAATTGAAAGCTTTGAAGAACATCCAATACTTGATGCTAAGCATGGGGCTTTTGTAGTTTTGCACTGCAATTCCCAGAATTCACCAGGAATGTCCCCAGCCAGAATTCTGGAAAGTACAGGCAAAAATCAAAGTCAAGACAAGATGTTTTCGATCATTCACAGCTATAGACCTCAGAAAGCCTCCTTAGAGACCTCCATTGTGGCGGAGAAGGAAATGCCTGGAAGTGGTTAAGTGGCAGGGGAATTGTAAAAGGTTATGGGACTGGTCGTGTTTTGAGAAGCACCCTGTACAGAGTCAAACTGGCACAAACACTACCAAGCCTATAACTCCTGGATCAAAGGCACAGAAAAAAAAGAAAGAAACCACTGTGGCCACAAAAATCAGGTGATAAAAAGATCTCTGACAGATCTCTGTAGTGGATCTAAAAAACTGCTTCCCTTCCTGTATCAAACTGATTTTAAAAAGTCTAATCTCTGCCACTGAGTCTTTCTTATAAGCTTACTCATGAGAAGCAGCAAAGCAAGCAAAGGAAAATGCCATCTTTGAGCTGTTTCACTGTACCAAATTATTTTGAGATTTATAGCTATGACCCTGCCTAATTTTATATCTTTTATCCTGCTGTTTATGCAGAAAATTGCCTCCAGTGCCCTCTGTTTTATCTGATCAAATCTTTTAATTCATATTGTTTATCTATAGTTTATTGCTGTCTGTTTTATTTAGCGTTTTAAACCACCCAGAATAGTGCATTGCACTAACAAGGTGGTTGGTTGGCTATTAAACAAATGAGCAAACGATTGGTGACTGCAGAGAAGAAAACTCAGGCTAGGTGGTGGTGGGAGTAAATTTCATATTTCAATTAAGTCTCAAGCAAGAAACTCACAAGTTCAAAAGCACATTAAAAAACACAATATAAACCAAGACTATTTTATAATCATTTGCCAGTTTTTCTGAAAGGTGCTCCCAAGAGACGGGATGACAAACACCGACACAAGCCGCTTATGGGAATATTCCTTTACCTTGGAGAATGTTGGCAGGGCACATATCAATCTTGGTCACCACCACAAAGACTGGGACGTTCAGTGCCAGCGCCAGGCCCAGGTGCTCCTTGGTCATCCCAACAATCCCAGCATTGCTGCCCACCTGCAACAAGGCAGAGCATGAGGAAAATGCAAAACAACTGTTTGGGGGTGGGGGGGGTGGGGATGCAGGCACTGGCTCAAGACAGTCATGCAGACACTTCAAAGAAAAAAGGAGTAAGGAGAAGAATTTTATCACAAAACAGGGGAGGCAGGAATCAAGACTTGCAATAAAGCAAGTACTGATCCAGCTGGTAGGATTTGCTACTCATTCAGATTATCATTATTATTTATTATTTATTTAATTTATACCCCGCCTATTTGGCCCACCGGACCACTCTAGGCGGCTAGATGACTATTAAGAGGCTTCATGGAACTAGAAAGGGTTATTCATACCTAAGACAATTATTTAAGAAACACAATCCTAGCAGAATTCAGAGCCACAAATAGGGTAGGTCCATTTGAATCAATGGAACCAACAGAGCAGCTGACTCACCAAATCCCTACTGATTTAATGCGCCTACTCTACTACAATTTATTTATCTATTATTTATTATTATCAGGATTTTAGCCACTGTTTATGAATGTCAGCAGAATAATAAAGGCTGTGCTTCTGTTTCACCAGCAACATTCTTACTCCTTAAACAAACAAACAAAAAGTCATGTACCCCTTAGCTGTGGTAGTGTTTACAAATACTATAGCAACCTCAAACTTAGTTCACATGATTTCCCAATAGAATTCTGCCCCATGCAGTTATGGCATAAGAGAAGTTTCCATGTTACTTTCCTCACAGGAACTAATAGCTGTGATTGTGTTTTCTTCTTTTCTGGCAATATTTTTATTAAAGCTATTATTCACCAATTTTGCAGTTTTATATTTCAAGCATTCTAGCTTCTGAAAACCTGCATTTTTTTAAATCTCTGCCTTTTATCCAATTTAGAGCGATAATTATTGGGTCAAAATTACAGTATGGTTTTCTAACACCATCCCTCAGGCAGGACAAGCTTTTGTTGGCACATGCTTGATCCTGAAGTGCATTTCCTTGAGGGAGGGTGTGTGGAATCTGAGCAGCACACCAACTGCCTCTTGAAGAAATAAGAATTAAATGACAAGACTCTCCCTCTCCTTTGTGAATAGAACTGGTTTCTTCAGAGAGCCAGCTATTTTGAGACAAGCTGATGAGTTCAATGTACTTTGTTAGTAATGACCATTTCCTTTACGTGGTGGCTTTATTTTTCTCTTACCGGAAAAAAATATGCTAAGTCAGAATGGAAGTCAGACTACAAATCAACCCGCCCACTCAAAATATAAACACCAAGACACCCTTCTAGTTTCTTACCTTCCACCCCAAATAAACACCTCAACATAATCCCACTAACTACCAAACCCTCAAAGCAGCATATAGCTGAAATGAAACACAGACTTTAACAGTGGCAATATCAGCACACAGTATTTTTGACTGGAGACCTATGCACAGTTACATCAGCTTACTAGTCCAGGCTAACTGATCAATATTCAGTGGGAAGGGAGCTTTGTTATGTCTAACTACCTTTGCCCTACAAAAGCAGATCTTTTTGTCTCTGGGGAAAGCTCAAAATGGACCCCACCTCTAGTATTTACTTAAGGAAACATGAAGGTAGAGCAGGATGCATCAATTTGCCCATGTTTTAGAGGCATGATCCCCTGTCTAAATATCTTTGCTTCTGGAGCAGACATTCAACCATAAATTTTTGCTTTAAATCTTTGCTTCTCCCTGAGGAATTACCAGTGATGTAATATTACAGTAAGGAAGATGCTACCAGATGGTAACGCCTACCCTTGCTATGACTGACATCAAACTAAGACAGCTCACCATTAGCATGCAAAAATCAGGTAGATGTCCTGTCATGCCAAAAACTGTAGTCTTCAGGTACTTCTCATGCCCAGCCAGGTCAATGAAAGTGATGACTTTTGTTGATTTCTCACAAATCTTAGTCCACTCTAGACTTCCACCATGGCTGTCAGGCTTGTTCACCACGTTGCCTTCACTATCGAAGCCTAAGATGTCATTGCCCACGCTGCTGGTACGACCTGACTCAATCTCATGCTTGTGGCGAAAAAGTTTTTGACGGGCAAAGCCACGCCCATTGTCCAGCTCACCATGGGTGAGGACACCCAGCAAAGTACTTTTCCCAGCGTCCACATTGCCAACCACTGCTACCCTGTGGGGGAAGACAGGAAAAAGAAAAACCTATGAGCACACTTGACTGGCTCAAGGCCTTAAATAGCTTTCTCAGGACCAGCTCCATCATGAGGCAGCGAGAGATGGCCATCACAGACAGATGATTTATAGTATTATGAAAAGGCAACAAATTTGTCATAGATTTAGCTTGCTTTTATTGGGCTTTTACTAGCCTGACCAGGGAGCTGATATAACAGAAAACACTTTTACAGGGATCCACTCCCCAGCCCCAATATTTCAAGACAGCTTTCAACGACAGTGACACTACAACAGCTAAAATCCTAAATCGGAAGTCTGGATTAATCTCATCGACAAAATTCCACCAGTGAAAATGAATAAAATTTGAGTGTGAGGGCAGAATGAAAACCAGAATTTTCTCTCACAACAACAGTGTCTACAACCACATCCAGGTTCCAGACAATGGGCTAAATTAAGTTTACAACTCCTAACCTAGCATCAATAGCAGAAAAGTCCTTCGTACATTATGAGAGAGGGAGGGAAGTATTTAATTATTTATGGCATAATGGCAATGATATCACGTGCTTAGTTTGTCTTAGGGAGGGAAGTATTTAATTATTTATGGCACAATGGCAGTGATATCACATGTTTGTCTCCAATGGGGAAGTGGTCTTTCATCAGTACCATGCTGGTAGTAACAGTCTTTTTTTAAAAAAACCTTTAAGAGTGTAAGAACCTGAACATAGCTTGTAGGGCTATATTGTTGTTCAATCATTCAGTCGTGTCCAACCCTTCGTGACCCCATGGACCAGAGCACACCAGACCCTCCTGTCTTCCACTGCCTCCCAGAGTTGAGTCAAATTCATGTTGGTTGCACTCAAACAGAGACTACTTTCAGAGCAGAGAGATTCAGGGTAGATTACGTTCAAAGTAGGATGGCCTGTTGCATGCTTGAGAATCACAGATATATTTAACCACGAAACAAATGTTACAAGGCATGTCCATTGTTGAAACCTTCCCCCTCAAAATAAACTAATGAATAAAGACTAAGCCAACTGAGTCAGAAAAAAATAGTTCCTTTTCCTGTGCATAAGCCCCAGTGCACAGTTAGGAAAGTTTACCACCTCCTATTGTGTACACTTGCACAGAGACATGAACATCTCAGTCTTGCACATTTAGGAGAATCCTGAAAATTACTTTTGGAGAGTAAATCCCCAGAATCCTTCCAACCAACAACAAATAGCTCCTGCTGGCAGGTTATTTTCTAACAGTCCAAAAAACCTACTTTTGGCAAATTGCCTACCAAGTGTCAAGTGACAAAAACGCATATGCATAGGTCCTACCTCATCCATCCACCATTTTGCTTTTAATAACACAAAGCTTATGCATAAACGAGGTGGAGTGGGAGCTACATAAGCCGATGTTAAGTTTATATGGAGGACACTATGAGCCTTCTTAGGTAACTTTTTATCTAAATAGGAGCAATGAGGGGATACTTTTTCAGTCTAATGTTCACCAAACATTGCAAAATAAGGCAAAGAAAACATTTCTGGTTGCTAAGCATCGGGATCAAACTTCAGAAAAGCACTTTCAAGAAGAAGGTGGAAATCCAAGACATCAGTATTAGTTTAAGTATCCAGGTGCCTTGAATTTGTCCAACTACAACCTTCTATTTTACAGTGGGGTCTTGACTTGAGAACTTAATCCGTATTGGAAGGCGGTTCTCAAGTCAAAAAGTTCTCAAGTCAAATCTGCATTTCCCATAGGAATGCATTGAAAACCATTTGATCCGTATCTGCTCTTTTCCGTCCATAGAAACTAATGGGAAGCTGCTATTCTGCCTTCGACCACTAGAGGGGGATATTTTGTTTCTTTTTTTCTTAGGTCAAGAAAGGTTCAGGGAAGGCAGGGAAAATACAGTCCAGGCAGTACAGAACCAGGCAGTCTGAAGACTGTCTCCCAATCCACTCTCTAAACGCTGGGAGGAGTGAGGAAGCAGACAGGCACCCTTTTCACTGGCCAACAGTTAACTGAAAGTTCAATTTTTGCACTTTCCCTGCCTCCCACGTGGTTTTTTTCAGTTCTTAACTCAAATCTAAGTACTTAAGTCAAGTCAATATTTTCCTATGAAAGCGGTTCTTAAGTCAAAATGTTCTTAACTCGAGCCGTTCTTAACTCAAGACCCCACTGTATATCAGG